ACACCACCACTCAGCGAAGCTTGTCTCCAGACTGAGCCTGACGCCCCTGCCCTGACTTGGGAGTTCACTCGCCCTGCGCCAGCACCCTCTGTCTGTGAAACCTCAGGTCCGCGGCGGAAAGAAACAGGCGCAGGCGCCGGAGCCTTACGGAAGGGAGGGGAACTGGAGAGAGAGAAATAAAGAGATCGGGAGGGGTGTGTGTGTGTGTGTGTGTGTGTGCGTGCGTGCGTGTGTGCGCGCGCGCGCTTGTGTGTGTGTGTGTGTAAGAGAGACAGAGAGAGACAGAGACACACAGAGACAGAGAGATACAGAAGAAACAAGGAGAATGAGAGTGAGGGAAAAAGAGAGGATGGGACAGAGATAAGAGAAATAAAGAGATCTGGAGAGAGGGGTGTGTGAGAGAGAGAGACAGAGACAGAGAGATACAGAGAGAAACAGAAGAATCAAGAAGAATGAAAGTGAGGGAAAGAGGGAGAGGCTGGGACAGAGGTAAGAGAGAATGAAGGAGGAATGATAGACGAGGTTGGCACACAAATTAAACGAATTTCCTCTTTCAGATTGAAAAGAGGCACTGAGTTGGAGAGACCGAGAGAGAGCAGGCCTGGAGGGGGGATGCACGCAGAGCGGAGGGTCAGCCCCCCAGACACACAGCCCAGCTCTGTCCTCCCCCGGTCGGAGTTCGCTCGCAGCGCTGTCTCAGTACCGGTCTTTCTCTCTTCCCTGCCCGGACCGGGACAACGCGCCGCCTGTCTTTCCAGGAGCCGCGCGGGGCGGCGGGGCTGTAGCGCAAGCCCGGCTCCCAGCCGGCTCTGTTCGTCCAGGTGTGGGCGGGGGACGGCGGTCTCCCGGGGTCGCTGGCTGGCGCTGGGTGTTCTCACCAAGGAAGCGGGAGGCTCCACTCGCGGCTTCCCGCTTCCAGGAGAAAACTCCCTCCTTCCTTACATATATAAATATATTAGGGGAACAGACAAATCTTCATTGTTCAGAAAGAAGCCGGGGAGGCCGACCGGCTCCGCTTGGCCCTGGCGAACGAGGCTGGAAGGGAGGGAGGCAGGGAGGCGGGGGCCGCGCGGATCCGGTGTCACGTTGCAGATTCCCACTAAAGATAACGAAACGTGATCTATTTTTCAGAACAGCAAGTGGATGGGAAAGAACCTTGACAACACAAAACTCATTTACTAATGGACTGGTTTTGAGTTTCTCTTCTCGGGGTCCGCAAAGCTCCCTGCCTGAGCCCTCGGCCTATTCAGAGCTCGCGGGGAGCAGCGTCCCCCCAAGGAGGCAGGTGGGCGGCTGCTCCCGCGGCGGCGCCCCGCTGGCCGTCGGATCCCGGGATCCTAAGGGTCGAGGGCACCCGGAGTTTCCAGCGAAGCAGAGGAAAAAGATGAATGCTGTCACTTCAGCCAGGATTTGGGGTCTCCGCACTGCCGGAGAGCGACGACGCTCGTTTATTGAAGAAACACCTCGTGATGTTCTTCCCTTCCGAGTATCTGTAGGTAGAGTAGGATCCCCGCTGTGGTTCTTAAAGGCGAAGGAATTCCAAGAAAGCAGGGACGGGAGCCCCAGTGCATCTCTCTCCAAGCCATAAGGGAGACAAAGTGGGTTCCACACAGACAGTTTTGAGCTAAGGCCTTATATCGATCCAGCCGAGAAACCCCACCAGCAACTAGTGCACTGGCCTTTCCCATAGACCAGTTGTGCGCACCCAGCGGTTACCTGCACAGAGGGGGCACAGAAGAGGCGAAAGCTGGCGTCGGGCGCCCCTCGCTACCCGCGTTACCCTTGGGAGCAGCCGAGAAGCAGCAAGGGCAGCGGCTATAGTTGCTCGTTCCCTTTAAATCTCCGACGCATCTCTGTTTTTCGTGTGATTTGCATTGACAGCAAAGGTTTTAAGTTACTAGAACAACTCAAACCTTTCTGTGTGCGATTTAAAATGGATCATTTGGTTTATGTGGTTTGTAAATTCATGTCATTTTACTTCTTTTAGTGGTTTTCACTGAAAGGCTCCATTTTGGGAAACCTTATATATCCGAGCCAACAATTAACATTTATAACAATTGGTTTCCCTAACCATGGGATCGAAATAGCTGGTGGGCTCGTTGGTGCAAAGCGAATAGCACTTCTCCTTTCTAGTTACGTGATCTATTGGATTAAACGCAAGGAGAAAGGCTGGCTGGCCCGGGCGGGCCTCCGAGGACTAGCACCACAGCTCATCAACCCCCGTGCCCGCAATCGCGGCACCCACGCGGTTGTCTCCCCAGTCGTCGCCAACATCTATCGCGTCTTTGTTCCTTCTGAAGAAAGATGAAAGGAAGTGGGCAGAGAGGTCTGGAGGAAGCGGGGGAAAAGGTGGTCATATTGGTGTCTAATTGTCATCTTTCTGCTCCTCATCATCCCCTGTAAATTTATACTTGCCCTTATTTGTCCAAGCTATGCCTCATTTCCTTATACAAAAGTCTTAATTATGAAGTCCACTCCACATTCAACTTACTATTTGTCTTTAAGAGAGGTGGCTGTACTTGCAGACCCTCCACCCCTTACACACACATTTTAGTTCTGCGCACTTGCTCCAGACTTGAGGGTATTAACTGATTTTTCGAGCGGAGTTTAAACCTCCGCTCCGGTCTTCACACAGCTGCCATGTCAATAAGGACTATTCCAAGCAGAGACGTTCCTTCTGGCAGGACACGGCAGCTCCTTAAGACTTCATCTGAAACATCATGAGCACTAAAATAAGTCGCCAGGGAAAATTACCAGACACATGGGCTTGGGCTCAGGCGTGCCAGGCTTCCAGTTTAGAAAGTAAGTCATTGGGCACACCATGTGGTAGGGGCTCTTTTGAAATACTATGCACCCATTAAATGCATTTAAAAAACAACCCTAAAGGTAATGAAATATCAGCATCTATTTACAAGGTCTAATTGAACAGGATACTGGAGACTTTTAAAGACACAAAATGGATTGTGTGGGAGTTCAGGGGAGAAGCAGCATCCCTTTACTCCTAATCTCTGCAGAGACACCCAGGAGGGTGAAACCCTTCATGAGTTTAAAATGTATATTGCAGGGTGCACTGAACTCGGCACATTATTTTAAAACCATGTAAATAATACAAGGGGAAACTTCCGCAGTGTTCCTTCTCCCACTTAAGTCTCAATATGTAAATGGTTCTGTGGAGCTGGGCTCTGGCTCATGGAATCAAAACATATTTAAAGAAGACAAGCCAGTTTAAAGAGCCTAGAGTTTATTCTTACATTCACTAAGAGGGCACATTTAAATCAAAAGCATTTTTGAAGAGTACTTAAAATTCTGTTTTGAACTTATCTAATCAGAGATAATCATAGTTATAAAGTCACTCTCCTTCTGCCATTCTGCTCCCCTTATCTCCCTGCATTGTTCTTATCTCCTGCCAGTCTCAGCTACTGACAATAGATTATCTTTGTTTAGAGACAGTAATTGTTTTCAAAATCTTTTTAATAATTGCTTTGGAACAAGGTGTGCAAATGAGGCTTAAGATAATTACAGCTTCATTTGTTTGTGCAGTTTTACTAAACATTCTCCACATATACACAAAATAACAGATGATGGGGCTGAAATTGCAGGACATCTCTCATTCTCTGGCAGTAAAATAGGCCAGTATTGCAATCTACACACACACACACACACACACACACACACACACACACACACGCACACACACACACACCTCTCTTTATTTAATCTTCTTGGAGCCGCTGTCGTTCTGGCTCTAAGGGCAGTGTCCCTCTCAGAGCAGGGCAAGGATTAGGTTACAATCAGACAGCTATTGGAGCCGGACACAGTTTTATTTAATTTACACCCCGTCCAGCGCCTTTCGTACGAGGTTCCCAAAGCATTTTTGCTAATAGCAAGTAAAGCTTCTCGGCATTCCTCAGTAGCAGAGGTGGCCTCGGAAAACGCAACCGCGCAGATAGGGAAACCGAGTCCAGAAGCGTTCCGGCTTAAACCTTAGAACGTTAAGATACCAAATCACGAATGAACCTTCAGAATCTTTATTTGCTCGGCAACAATGCTCTCAACAGCTCTTCGCAGGGTCTCAAATAGTCGTGGCCTTTTGAAAACGAGGGAAATCTTGTGCCCTTTGGAGGGCAGTGGGGGCAAAGGAAGAATGGTAGAGGAAATTAGGCTCCTAGAGCTGAAGTCAGCCTGGGAGAAGCCACTCTTCCAGCGGTTGCAGCCCGGAGCCCTGCTCTGATCTTGTATTATTTATCGCGTTCCATAAGCTATTCATCAATCCATTATTTATTCATTCCAACATTAAGGTAATTAAATATGAGCTCACCGGGAAAGGGCAAGTCTGCTAAGGACAGGGACGGGGGTATAGAGGGAGAGGAGGGGAATTATAAGGTCTGGAGTCATTGATTTGTGCAGAGATGTGCGCGGCTGCCCTTAGGTGACACTGGAGAGGGGGCTCACGTTGCAGGATCCTGACGCGCTCACCCACTCACCCCCCCCCCGCCCCTGGGCAGCGTGGCTCCCTCCCCCCACCCCGCTTCCCACCTCCCGCGGTCCTTCCCCTCCCACCACTCCCTATCCCGGGCTCCACAGCCGCGCCCTCCCCGCGCGGGGCGGCGCGGCCCCGCTGCCTGGCCCGGCGGCGCGCGGGCTGGCCAGCCTCGGATAGGCGCCGCCCGCAGCCAATCAGCGCGCCGGGGACGCTGCGCGCTTTAAGGCCGCTGCGGGGAGAACAGAAACCAAGTTCCCCGGCAACGAGCAGCATCAACCCGGCGGGAGGCCGGAGCCAGAGAGGCCCAAAAAGGCTGCGGAGTGAGCCGGCCGCTCCGTGTCCAGCGCGCCCCCCTCTGCCTTCTTCCTCGGCCGCCCAGCCCTAAGTTTCGACTAGCTTTTTCGCCTACGGAAATCCTAGGGAGGGGGTTAGGAGCAGCTGCGCCCCCTTCCCTGCGGCTGCCGCCCCCTGCTTTTAAGGCGCTGCTCCCTGCCGCGTGCGCCCGGGCAGTGCACCTCGGCAGGCCCCAGCCATGTCGATGCTGCCGTCGTTCGGCTTCACGCAGGAGCAAGTGGCGTGCGTGTGCGAAGTTCTGCAGCAAGGCGGGAACCTGGAGCGTCTGGGCAGGTTCCTGTGGTCGCTGCCCGCCTGCGACCACCTGCACAAGAACGAAAGTGTGCTCAAGGCCAAGGCCGTGGTTGCGTTCCACCGCGGGAACTTCCGTGAGCTCTACAAGATCCTGGAAAGCCACCAGTTCTCGCCTCACAACCACCCCAAGCTGCAGCAACTGTGGCTGAAGGCGCACTACGTGGAGGCCGAGAAGCTGCGCGGCCGGCCGCTGGGCGCCGTGGGCAAGTATCGGGTGCGCCGAAAATTCCCGCTGCCGCGCACCATCTGGGACGGCGAGGAGACCAGCTACTGCTTCAAGGAGAAGTCGCGGGGAGTGCTGCGGGAGTGGTACGCGCACAACCCGTACCCCTCGCCTCGTGAGAAGCGGGAGCTGGCCGAGGCCACGGGGCTCACCACCACCCAGGTCAGCAACTGGTTTAAGAACCGGAGGCAAAGAGACCGGGCCGCCGAGGCCAAGGAAAGGTACGCGGCGTGCTTCCCGCTGCTCGGGCGACCTCGAAAAGCCTTCCTTTCCCCTCCGCCCCTCCTCGCCCCCGCTGGCACCCGCCACCGCGTCCTCTCCGCCGGCTGGAGCCCGTCCGCGGGGCGGCGCCCGGGCCTCCGCGGCGCTGCAGCGAAAGTTCATGAACTCTGAGATCGCTTGCTAGGGATGGGGAGTCATTTGATTTGAGCGCCCGCGCGTGGGTTTCTTGGGGTGTGAGTGTCAGGAAATATTGGCGCTAGGTTTGTTTTTTGTGCCTCCCTGGTTGGCTGGGGCGACGAGTGTGTGTGTGGGGGTGCAGGGCGAACTTCTAGATCAACTACAAAGGAAGTGTTGATTGGTGTCTCGAGGAAAGGGGTTCGGTGGGGGCTGAGGGTCGCGCACCTCCTCTTACTCCCTAGAGGGGTGGCGCTGGCCCGAGACATCTGCTCTGCCCCCCCTGCCGCCGCGTCCTTTCCTCGCTCTCTCGGGGTAGGCTTTCAGGCGAGAGGTCGCCGCTTCTTTCCGCACTAGCTGTACAAAGGGAGTCTTTCAACAGAAATCCACAGAAAGGAGAGCTTTGGAAGAGTCGGCGCTGCACGTATTACACGGTGCCCCAAGCCCAGAAAGGACTGCTCCTCTCCGGGGTCCCTCGCGCGTGTCCCGGGGCCGCCGCGGGTCCATCCCGCGGTCCGCGCCGCCGCCCCGGCTGAGGAAGGGGGTCTCCAGTGGCAGACGTCTCTCCGGAGCTCAGAAGCCAGTCGTATTTTAACCTGCCTCTGCCTCCGCCCTCCTCGCGCGAACACCCCCGGCCACCTGGCCCGGCTCCATCCGTTTGCTGTTGGAGTTTCCGAACGAGATTCGGAAGAGCCTGAGGAGGCGGCGGCTGCGGCGAGCGCGCTCCGGGAAGCCGAGGAGTTTTGGGGAAACCTGAGCGCCGGGTAGGGCTGGGTTTCCTTTGTTCGCTTTCGAGCCTGGGGGCCGCAGATGTCGCCTGTGCGTTCCCCTCCGGGTGGGAGAGCACGGAGCCTGGAGACTTTCCGCCGCAGCGGCTGTCCTGGGAGAGAGACTGAGGCCAGGAGATAGAAAGGGGGAGCCGGGCAGGCGCCGGGGCCGAGGAGGATGGGCCAGCACCCTGAAGGCGGAAGCGGCCGGGGCTTCGAAATCGTGAAGTTTACCAGCACCCAGCATCCAGACCGACGCCCAGGCACGCCGCACCCGCTCTCGGGCTGCGCGGGGCCTCGAAGTTTCCTCGGCTGGGAAACGGTGCGCGGTTGTGGATGTCCGGGAGGGGGTGAGAGGGAGCTGTGAGGGACTAAGGACTGAGCGACTAACCCGGGGACGGGGACAGTATGGTTCCAGTTAGACTTTAGTTACAAAAGGTCCATCCTATAAGGCAGGCCCGAGGGCCCACTCCCTGTTGAAATCGGAGAGACTGGCGGCGCTCCCTGTGTTTACTCAGGTCACTGGGCCGCTCTGGACACCACTTCCCATGACCTGTCCTGTGCCTCTGAAACCACAACCTCCGGGCAGGGGCAGGGAAACTCGACGTTTAATTGTTTCCTCAGATGGGAACAGGACAATTGACTTGATTCACCCCAAACATCTGTGCGCTGGGCTCTGTTTATCCTCTGATCATTTTCTTTATCACCAACAACCATTTGTTAGGCTATTTTCAAACGTAATTACTTCTAAGTGTGGTGCTCATTGGTAGGTATTTAAAAATAACTGCTTGAACAAAAATTTGAAAATAATTTTTGTGTTTCAAATAAGTCCTGCTGATCTCGCTTTCTGACATCTGGAAGAGGAAAGGACCTGACACCCCACAAGCTCTGTCCATAGTTCCCCATTTCTCCAGTCTCCTTTGCCTCCTTACTTTCCCCAGGACCCTTGGGGACGGGTGGGAGGGCAGGGCTCCTCCATTGGGGTGTATGACTGATTGCACAATGGCTCTCTCCTCCTGCCAGCTCCCTCCCTCCACTCACACTTTTTTTAACCTACTTTTTTTTTTTTTTTTAACCATATGGTGTTGTCCTCTATTTCTTAGGGAGAACACCGAAAACAATAACTCCTCCTCCAACAAGCAGAATCAACTCTCTCCTCTGGAAGGGGGCAAGCCGCTCATGTCCAGCTCAGAAGAAGAATTCTCACCTCCCCAAAGTCCAGACCAGAACTCGGTACTTCTGCTGCAGGGCAATATGGGCCACGCCAGGAGCTCAAACTATTCTCTCCCTGGCTTAACGGCCTCACAGCCCAGCCACGGCCTGCAAGCCCATCAGCATCAGCTCCAGGACTCCCTGTTGGGCCCCCTCACCTCCAGTCTGGTGGACCTGGGGTCTTAAGTGGGGAGGGACTGGGCCTGGAAGCAGTGACTAGGGACACTTGTAAATAGAAATCAGGAACATTTTTGCAGCTTGTTTCTGGGGTTCTCTGCGCATAAAGGAATGGTGGACTTTCACAAATACCTTTTTAAAATTCAAAACCAACAGCGATCTCAAGCTTAGTTACCTTCTTCTCTCCAACTCTTGCATTTCCCATCCCAGTGCAGAGATCAGGAAAAAAACAAAAACAAAAACAAAAAAAAAACCCAAACAAACAAAAGCACCCAGTCACCCAGTCTTGGTTCTGGGCAATCCATGTGCCAGCTTTAGTAGTCTTTCTTTTTTCTTTTTCTTTTTTTTCTTCAGTGAATGGGAATTACAAATCAACTGGATTTTACTTATTTCCTTTTAATTTATTTATGGCTAAATCATTTGGGAAGAGGAAAAGGAAATGAAAGAGAGAGAGAGAGAGGTCAAAATAGTAAAAATAAGAGCCTCCAGCCAGGAGGAACTGTTCACATTCTTAAGGTGAATAGGAAAAATATGATCTTATAACTTTTTTTGAGAGGGAAAAATTAAGTTTACATTTTTCATTATTTAGTGTTAAACACTTTTATGTAGATTAAAAGGAAAGAACAGTATTAGGGGGAAAAATAAGTGCCTAAATGTCTTAATGCTCTCTGTGTAAGGCAGTTAGAAATAGCAGTGACCACTAGTACTACAACTATTTTTGTCAAATTTAGTGGGGTTTTTGGTTGTTGTTTGTTTTCTTGGGTTTTTTTAATGGCAAACTTTAAAAATGTACCAATGTGAAAAAACACTTTCCTGAATGCCATTACTTCTCATGCCCTTGAACCTTTCATATCTGTAGCCTACTCCTGTTAAGGGTTTCTCTTGTTCCTAGTTTCTAGCCTGCAAAAATATGCAACAAATCTGGCAACCTGGTATTTGTTACTAAAACGGCATGTGTTTTCAGGTTTCTTTTCTATTGTACCTAAACCAGTCTAAATTAAAACTTAGTAGAACACCAGGAGTACGATTCTGTTTCTGAAAGGTGAGTTGTGTATTGCTGTCATTGGGCCCTAATTTTTTTTTTTTTAAGTTTTCTTGCTTTCTTACTTAATGATGGTTATGAATTGCAGGGTACTTTGAAGGCCACCACCTGAACGAAGAGTGGTGGCTGAATTGATCATGTGATAGGAAAAAAGTGAAGTTAGCGTTAGGGTATTTATTTATTTTTTTATTATTTAGATATGCAGTTTTGTTTACCACTAGCTCTTCTCCACAGCGTTCGTATGTGAACTCGGCTCTTTTGTATTAATGAGTTTATGACAAGACTGTGAAAGTAAAATAATTTATCTGCTTGGGGGAAAAAAGGGGGGGGACTCGAACATGGATAACAACATTGTGAATTAATCTGTATAAATAGAAAGCAGACCAGCAGAACAGGAGCTCTCCTTGCACTGCTGTGAGATAGTGTCCAGAACAATCCCAGTAATCGTGTAGGCTCCATAATATTTTTGCCTGGGGCAAAAATGATGTATCTTTGTATTTAGCTTTTAAAATTAGTGAAACAAATGGCATTATTTATTAAAATTCTTCTCAGGATAACAGGATTGGCTTGCTTGTGCTTTGTAAAAATATTGCTCCCCAGAGAGAGTCTTATTTATTTTCTGACATGACAGTTTCATAATTTTGATTTTTCCCCATCCATGTCACTATTAATATATTCATTTCTTTCTTACTCTTTCCTGTCCTGATCTAGGAGACTGAGTTGTGTAAATGAGGGGTGGTGGTGGTAGAATTTAGGCCTTCTTATTCTGAGGGTTTTTTTTTTTTTTTAATGTCAAATAGCTTTGACTCATTTCAGAGGAGAAAGGATCACTGTACTTAACTGTAGTCACTTTTACTTATAAAGCCATTTTTCCCCCTTCGGTGATGGACAGATGTGCACACAGCCGCTGGGAGACCATCATTTGGATTGGGAGCTCAGGGTCCCAATCCCCCTTGTTAGTGTTTTGGATCATTAAGTTGGTGTTTATTTAAGTCACTAGGGTGTTTATTCTCCACGTCTTGGGCCACGGAGAAATGCCACCCTCTGCAGGAGGGGCTCTCACAGGGGATCTCCGCACATTCTTCACATTCACTCCCCAAAACAAACACCCTGCACAAAGATAGCTTTCAATGACCCTGACAGGCTTCAAAGGACACCGCGGAAATCTCCCTGGAAAATAAGGAAGGGCCAATTACTTTAATTTCTTACATGCCCTCTCTTCCTACTCCGATGACTACCCCCCACTCTTACAGCTTTGCTTGGTATAATTTTAGACTCGTGGAAGATCTGTCTCCCTGGGCGCCCAGGCCCACTTCCTGCTCCCTCGGTTGGTGAATCTTGGAAACGTCTGCAGATCTGGCGAGGAGCAGAGCCGGCCAGTCCTGTAAAAACCCCTGTGATTACTGCTTGTAAACTCGTTAAAAGGACAATTTTCTGTCACAGTCATAAACTCTTTGTAAAACCCCTGGCACTGGATCCAGAGTGCGCATATTCCAGATGTGTTTAATAAGAAATTGCACAATATGCCTCCCTTCGCCGTCCCCGGCTCAGTCTGGCGAAACCAGGGACAAGCAGGAGAAGGCGAGAAAGCTGGATATTACTGTGAATTTTCTTGGCAATCATTTTGGAGCGATCATTGGGGGAACTAACCACATTTTTTTTTCCTTGAGGAAATCATCGAGGACCAGCTGTTAAGGGACCTCCAATTTATCTTCCCGGCGTCGCAGCTTAACTGAACCAAAAGCCACTTTTCGTTTCTCCTCTGTGGGCTTCTTAATGATAGCCAAAACTAATGAACGACGGCTTATAAATAGTGTTCTTAGGACGAAACGTTACAGCATTTTGCCAAGTAAAATGAAAAAACAAATATTAGTGTGATTTTTTTTTTTTTTGTGGACATTTTAAATCTGAACACACAATTGTTCGGTCCCGGCTGCCTGCTCGCCTTGACCTCTTGGCTGAGAACGAAGCTTCCTAAATATTCGGAGGCAAAGGGACTTGGCCGGCGGTTCCGAGATTTTGGCTTAGCAAGTAGGGACTCCAGAGCCCTCAGAGCCCCCACGAGCTGCAGGCAAGGAGACAGGCGCCGCTGGGGCCGGGCACTGCGGGTCTTGAACCATTTCTCCAGGCAAGGACAGCTTGGTCTTGACCCTGAGCTGAAGTGGAAGCTTCCAAGAAGAGGCATTGTGGCATTGGCGCTTATGGGCGAACTCTTGTTTGCTGAGCGGCGACCCAAGTGACGCCTCTCACCCCCGCACCTTGAGGGCCAGTCGGGCACCTGGCCCTGATCCCACGCACAGCCGCCCTTCCTCTGGTCCGCAGCCGCCGCGGCTAAGGCAGCGGCTGCTGCGGTGGGGGGGGGGGGGGGTTCGCTCCTACAGCCTCCCCCGCCGGGAGGCCTTTGGTAATGTCTGCAGCCAGAACTCCAGGTCCTGGGAATCCAGAGGCTTCCATTCTGCGCGTCTCCGGTTGCAGAGCGCTGGAGGAGCTCCCCTGCCACCCGCAGACTCCAGAGGCAGCTCTGGCCATTCTGCCCTGCGGAGGCGCGGGGAGTCTGGGCGCCGCTGCTCTCTCCTCCCTGCCCTGGCCGAGGCTCTTCTCCAGCAGTTCAGAGAATCGTGCGCGTCCCGGGATCCCCATCGCAGCTCAGCTCCAGGCGCAGGGCCTGGTGGCCGGCCGACGGAGCCCTTGGGAACAGAGGCTGCGAGGCTGCCCTGGAAGGGCCGGACAAGGAGCAGGCAGCTTGAGCCTCGCGGGACGACGAGCTGCATCGTCTTGTGTACCCCGGAGCCGCCTCGCAGGCCCAAGTCGGGGTCTCCTTTTTGAGTTGTGGAGCTAAATTCTGGGTGAGGCACGTAGGCGGCCGCGGACGCACCACTGTGGGGTTGGAGCAGGCCCCGTGGTAGCGGGAGAAAGCGGTCCAGGCCGCATGCGGATCCCGGCCCGGCCGCAGGGGTGACCGCTCTCTGGTTCTCCGACACCGCGCGTTGGGTCCAGGGCAGCAGCCTCGGGCATCCGAGCCTAGTTGGGAGGCGACCTGGGCCCGGCCGCCTGTTCCCTGCTGCCCTTCCTGCTTCAGATACGTTCTGTCTCCTCGGCTTCCTGAGGCCTCCGGCCTTGGCTTTTGGACCTGAGCGTTTCACTGGAGCCCTTGGCGCAGGAGTGCCAGCCAGAAAGCGCGTCTCTTCCCTGCCATGTCGCTGGAACGTCAACAGCCCAGGAGAGGGGCCCTGGCTTCTAGAGTCTCTGGCAGGTCGGGGTGACAGCTCCTCTTCTTTGGCGGGGCCTGGTCGGACGTCTCCCCCTTGGCCGGAGGCCATGGGCCCAGCATCAGCCTCTTCCCCGAGTTCGGCCCAGAGTCCCAGCAGGGAAAGCACCAGCCGAGGCCCGTAGTGCGCTTTGGGCCCGCCTGTCGCGGCGCACGTTCCCCCTTCTCTGGTGGGGTAGGTGGCGTTGACAGGGACAAGGGGGCAAGGGTAAGGTGAGGAGAGTCACAGGTGGCTCATGTACTCCCTCTGAGCTATTTCTCCTTTTTCGGCGTTTCCCCCCAGGAGTAGAACACCTAAAAACTCTCCCAGATTCCCTCCTCCAGCCGCCCGAAGCCAGCGGAACCAGTGCTTGTGCTCCTTGGGCACCCAAGGGGCAATTCGCACCGAGGCTACCCGAGGGCTCAGTCCCTTAGCCTGCAGGTATGCTCTACGACCTTAGGTGGGGACTCAGGAGCCCCTCGAGATCACAGTGACCCCTCTCCCAGTCTGACTGACTCCAGTAGCTCCACCCGGAAGACTCTCTCCAGAGATGGTTGAGGCAGCCAGGAACGAAAAGAGTCAAAATCTGGGGCGAATTGTTGGTTTATTGTCTACTCAGAAAAGCGCTGCCCTGGGAAGGCCACGTTTTCTCTAGTGTTTTAAGCCGAGTGTACACACACAACTTCGTTCCAGCTGATGAAATTGGAAACCTGTTCTCC